AACAACATTAATTTCCTCCACAAATACAGAGGTTTCATCAAGTTCCAGCTCAACTTCCCCTCCACTAACTGCTCATTTAACACAAACATCTCCTGAACACAAATCTGATACAACACCAATGGGGACCAGCACTACACAGCTCCCAGTTAGTAGCCAGGAAACATCTACAACATTGATGTCCTCATCAACAGGGCAACAATCTACACCCTTCACGGCTGTTACAACAACAGGAAAAATGGAACCAACAATGTCAACTTCAACATTGACATCGATTGGAGAAACAAGTACTTCCAACACTGATCCAGCTGCAACAACTGTAATTTCAACCACAAATACTGTGGTTTCCTCAAGTTCACTCTCAACATCCACAACACTGACCACTCATTTCACACAAACATCTCCTGAACACAAATCCTTAACTACTCCAATGGGTCCCATCCCAACTGCGCTCCCATTGACTAGCCAGGAAACATCTACAACATTGATGTCCTCATCGACAGTGCACCAATCTACACCTGTCCCGAAAGTGACACCAACACTTAATACTCTATCAATACCATCTTCAAAAGCTTTGACGTCAGTTGAAATCATCACCACAAACAAATTTACAAGAAAAACTCATTCAACATCAACCATCATTCCCCTTTCAAATACAACTAAACCTACAACTCCTCAATGTCAGAACTGTCAATGTTTGGGGGGTACCTGTACATTTAATGTCACACTTGGAAGATGTCAATGCTTCTGTCAGGATTTTTTTTTTGGAGAGTCCTGTTCTGTTGGAAAGACTTACACAGCTCCTCATATTGGTGAGGTTTTTCATACCCAAATATTGATTTCCAAAATATGTTCCAACATTTTTGGGGGAAATATATAATATTTTTGCAATGTCAATAAATTGGTCTATTTTTGTTTGCAGACCCTGAGGAAATGCCAACTCGGAAAGCTAATTTTTCTTTAGAAATCCATGTTAATTTTCAACTGGCTTTTAATGATCTTAGCTCACCTCAATCGTTGGCATTCATCAAAACCTTAGAACTACAGGTAGACCATTTTCTTATTTATTTACACAGCAATTGTTGCAATAACTTTAACTTATACACATTTATCTGTAATTAGTTTTTTGCTCTATACTTTTTTTAATGTTAGTGTCCAAACATATATTTATATCATTAATAATAATACATTTTCCCTGTGTTGTAGATTGAAGCTTTATGCAAAGAAGCAGATCCACAAACCTTTAAAAAAGTACAAGTCATCAAGTTATCGTGAGTTTTTATTTAACTTTACTGATAAAATAACTCAAATTACTCTTTAATCCAGAACAGTTTGTTTTCTATTGGTAATATCTATCCTTTCTTTTACTGTAGACCAGGAAGTGTTGTTGCAAAGAGTATGGCAGAGTACATTTATCCAAACAATGAATCTCAAATCCAGTTTGTCAACACTCTGCTTGAAGGGAGGTTGACTAACATCTTGAATGACACAAAAAACCTCATGAACATTTCTAATGCCTTTAATGCAATCGTGCAGTTGAATGAAATCACCTTCCAGCCACCTGAGATAAAAAGTATGTACGGGCAGTAATAAACGTGCATATTTGACTTATTGTCAGTTGTTCTTCCTAGAACATGTCATAATTTTTTGTTTGCTTGTTAATGTTAACTTAATTTACTTTTTTGCAATCAGATATCGCAGATATTAAGCCTTTTGTAAACTGTTCTCAGTTTACTTATTACACTGCTGAGATCGTTAACGGTAAATGGCAGTGTGTAGGATCTTGCAAAACCAACACGGATTACTGTCACCAACATGGAGAGTGTTACAATGACATTAGCAAGGGGCCAATCTGTAGGTAAGCATGAACATCACTTTGTTTCTCACATTTGTCATATTTCTGCATATAATGTCACTTTCATTAAACATTTACTTTGATGGCCTTTTAATCCAGATGCTTTGAGTCTAGCCTTGAGCAGTTTTATGGCCCACATTGTGACGTCTCCCGTTGGGGTCCAGGTTTCTATGGTGCACTGTTTGGATCATTGGCAGTGGTGCTCCTGCTCATAATTATCATCATCATTGCTGTCATCGTCAAAAAGAAACGAATGGTTGTTTGGTGGGTTCCTAGATAACACTATGCAAATGTTCAAAAGAAAATATTTTTGCTGTAATCATATTTTTTTTAAACATTGCTCTATTTTAGGAAAAGGAGCAACTCCTATAACAGAAGACTCTCAGCTTTTGAAGAAGACTTCTTTGACTTCTCTGATACAGGTGTGTTATCAGTAATCCGTTTTTTATTTTTTTTTAAAACAGCTTACAATTTCTCAGAAAGGACACTTACATTTGCTTTTTAAATATTATCCTGTTTCTTTACTCCAGGAAATCACAACTTGGGACTTGCAGGTACTTACCAGAGGAATTTAGGCGACAACTAAAAAGTGATCACAACTGATTACAGGTGTTCTTGTTTACTATTTTGTTTTTACATACATTACAGTACCTATTGAAGAACTGATAAATGTAAGATTGTAGTTTAATTGTTGATATTAATGTCATCATTCGTGTGTCTATCCAGGTCACAACAAAACGTCCTGAGGTTTTTGAACATCAACCCCAGATTATGGCTACAGAACGCAACATTTTGTTTTAATAACAATGGTGTTGTTTTCCATGGTAGTAGTGAGGAACATTAACAATTGTATGAGCTACCAACTTTATATTGCACATAATGTATTTTAATTGTAATTTGTTGTTAACTTTGTTTATAATATTTGTAATTCAATGTAGCCTCTTGTGCCCTATTTTAAAATAAACATGTCAAATCATACATCAGTGAATTCAAATTACACTAACCATTTGTCTTTTTAATGACACCGTTGCTCTGATCTTAAACTCAAGGTAATATACAGCTCTGGAAGAAATAATAATTAAGAGACCACTGCACCATTATCACTTTCTCTGGTTTTACTTTTTACATGTGTTTGAGTAAAATGAACCTTTTTTATATTTTATTATATAAACTACGGACAACATTTCTCTGTTTGGAATTCAACAGACACTGGAATGGCTGCCATACATGTAGAGATTGAGATTTAAGATACATTTTGAGTGGTCTCTTAATTTTTTCCAAAGCTGTATGTAACATGTGAAAATATTAAATTCTGTCCCTTCTTGAACTCTTGTCCAGAGGTAATGTTGGCTTCAGCTTAGAAGTCAGTGTCTAGGGTTTCTGAATGTGTATTAAATCATCTAAGAAAGTACATTTTATTGATGACGTTCCCTAAATTCAGTACAATGTCCTGTCACTAGATGGCATACACACACACATTGTAATGGTGTGCCTTTTCAATATGGGAATAATTAAGCACAGAGAGAAAGCGAGTTTTAAACAAATATTATTGTTCCTGTTTATCTTAATCGTTTGTGGCATTTTTATTTTATTTGCCACTACCTCAAAATACTAGTGCAAATCCCTGCTGGTCCTCAACAGCACTACATTTCACTGACTGTTTTTCTATCCGACCACATTGTTGGCTATTTGAGTCCACCTAGTGGTAGACTCACCTGATCATTACTTTATCTTCGCTTGATGTACCATTCTTTACAAGAACTCTTACCTAAGTAACATTTGACCAGCAGCACTTAATTCTAAGTTAAATATTTACAACTCTGTCCTCTTTACTAACCAAGACCAGTTACAATGAGAGAGGATGTCAGTTGCGCACAACTACATCTTGAAATTGACCATATTCATTTGGTCTCTTATGACAGATTGCAGATATACATTTTCTTGCTATATATATATATATATATATATATAAGACAAGCAAGCATACCAAGCAATCATTCTCCACATTTTGTCTATAAATCTTATTATTCACAATGTCATTTTTCCCACTTTCTTTGAGAAGTTATTTTGATTATACATTTTGAGGTGTATCTTTACAATGTCGAACTCTGCAACCATGTTAAGATCCAGTCACAGAAACCAGAAATCGCTCTATTGCTTTTAGACAACTGCAGACTAACCAGCAGAGGCTGTATAGCAATTATTGCAGCAGTCATCATAATTGCTGTAATAATTATTATCATTAAAACATATCAAACTGCTATCTTCTTTACTTAGTCCAAAGATATGTTTGATGTCATTGAGCTGCTTCAACTTGAACTTAAGTCTGACATACTCAATTTAAGAATTATACCCAAGAGGTCAAACTCTAATTGCATGAGTAGGAATGTAGTAGCGTTGCCAAAATAAAGCTCCGTCAGAAAACAATAATGTTTAGTAAGATGGTGTCAGCTTAAGAAACTATTTTGGCTAAATAGGATTACAAATAATGTATAAGAAAGTGTCATGTCTGAGTTTGGGCATAGAGCACATCCAAAGTGCCACAGCAGTGCAATGTGCTTAACTCATAAAGTGATCACAAACCATCTTTGATTAAAATGAGCAGCCTGTTTTCAGTTGCCATAGTCAACAACCATGCTGTCGCCTAGCAGCTCACATGCTCCATTAAAACAATAATGCTAAATCGATTGCAATTTAACAACAAAAACGTAAAGCTACAGAAATGTTCAGTTGAGGTGTTTAATGTAAATGCAGCTTAATTGAAGATAGTTTGTTAATTATTTAACCAGTTATACACCGTGTGGCTTATTGCGGTTGCGACTTCATGCTTAACCACATGGACTCAAGTCAAGAGTACAACACTTGCAACATTGTTAAGCACTTGAAACAAACAAAAAACGTGTGGGCGCAGAGCTGGCTGCCACAGAGCATCTAAGCTGTCATGCAGGAGGAGACCGTGCTCTAACCAGGAAGAGGAAGGCAGTGCACTGTACACCTGTCAGTCGACCATTGTAAGTCACTCTTCTTTCTCTGGAAAGAGGCCAGTCACAACAAGGCACAGCATGAGGGTGTGTGGGTGATAAAACAGGCCAAACAGCTGAGTTGAGAGTTCAGGCTTGACAGATTGAAGAGAAAAAAAATGAAGCAGTTTCATAAATAAGTCATTTTATTTAGCTTTCTTTTCAAAAACTATATGCTTTTCAACTATTCATAAAAACAAATGGAATTGTTCAATACTGTACACAGTATACTGTACTCTCCCAGTGCATGTCTTCACCACAGCAGAGAAGGTATGTCTTAATAAACTAGTCTTCATTCAGTTTTATTATTTCTAATAAGACATATGAATACCTTAAGATTAAATAGTATCAGTGTATGTAAACATTTTTTTCAGAAATTTAAGTCAAATGCAACATTGTGTTGGCAAGGTTTTGTGAGCAGGAGGGAGAAAAAAAAAGTATATTTTAATGACCGTTTGACCTTAGCAGTTATCCGTTTCCCAAACTGACCACCATGTTCGATACCAAGGGTTACTTCAATACATTTTGCTACATTTATTATATCATCCGGATGCTTCTTGAGCAATCTACAACAATACAATTCATATATTTTCTAGGCTGCCAGCAGCCAAGGTCTCTCAGACCACACCCACTGCAATCATGTAAGGCAGGAATGCATGAGCAGAACAGGAAAGTCTGTGTCAGGTAGGTAAACCCTGCACTGTCTTTGTGATGTGTCTGTATTAACAAGTTAGCCAAACATCTGTGATCTAAGCTCTGCGTGATCTAAAATCTATTTTTAAGGATATCCGATTAGAATTGACTTTATGTTACTCTTAACTGAAGTGTAACTGAATTAAAACGGTGTCAGGTCCAACAATGAGTTGGTTACCTCATCTATATAAATTATAATTTCTGATTTTATCTTTGTAGAAATGGAGATTATGTGAAATATAGAATTAATATTAAAATGGAGGTAGTATATGAGGCAAATTAGTTCCAAGCAATGACTCACAGCGTGACCAACAATAAGCTCCTCCAAGTGTTTGGTGGAATTTCAGTAAGTATAGCATACATTCACTTAATGTTCAACAGGCCCATTTCTGTGCAACAAAACAGACCTGGACACTGAAAGCAAGCAATCACTTTTAGAGCGCTGCAAAAAAGCAGAGCACTGTAACAAGTATGGTTGATAGTTTTCTACCAAAATTCTCGCCAGAACACTTTTTCAACTGCTGTTCGCATGCACAAACACATACAAGCACTAACAGACACATTCATCAACCGACAACTACACCATATAAGCTGCACTAGACATTCCAATGGAAACATGCGTAGCTACCAGTAATGTACCCACCTCTTAGTACAAAATGTACCATGTGGAAAACATCAATTTACACAGATATAGAGGCCTGATTAAGACTGCAACTTCATCAAGGCAGGGAAATCATATCAGTGTTGATATATAATAGCAAACAAAAAAGAGATTTGTGTGCTAGCATCCTTCATTTTGTTAAAAAAAAAAAAAATTAATTGGCCTTGTATTTCGACTTCATATATTGATCATACACGTTTACATTACTGACCTTTTGTCCCTTGTAAGATTCAAAAGCAGTGTCAATGCACCTCACAAAACATCCTCAACCTTCCAGACACTGAAAATACTGAACACACGAGGTTCAAGGCCCGCTTGTACCTTCCGGCTGTACCACATCATGAAATTTAAAAAAAAAAATCATATAAAAAAATAAGCTCTACATTGTTGAATTTTGCCCACAATCTATAGTCAGAGATACAGTTCGTACATAAAGTATCTCAGTTGTGATAGCGATTTCAACAGTACCAGTAACTGAATACAGTGCACACATACCCTGTGTGTTGAGAATACATAGGGGTAAACAAATATATAAAATAAGTAAAAGCAGCAGTTTGAGGGTTGTTAGCGTCCAGTTTCACAATTTTTTCAAGTGGTTTTTGCTCATGTACAGTAGAGTCCTCTGCTACTTCCACTAAAACTTTTCAAACTAAATCCACCTGTGCTTTCCTTCTGGTGTGACAGTCCCAGTTTGAATCTGATACATCTGTATTGCGAGCTGCAGGGCTATCCTTGACCCGGATAAATCTATCTACACAAGGAGAGTCCACCAAAGCAGTCCGCTGAGGCATGAGATAGTAATGTGTGGTGCTGGCCTTCTTGCCGTTCTCCATAACAGGGAAGATGCAGGGGGAGCCTTCACTGTTCTGTCTCTGTAAACCCCGATAGCTCACGTAACGAGGGTTGGGTGCAAAGCTTTGGGTTGGGGGCATCACCCCATTAAAGTATGTTGGGAGGCTCTTGGGGCTGGGTGTGCGGGAGCTGCTTCTGGACAAAGGTTCCCTTGGAGGCACCTTTGGTGGTTTGTCCTCATCGCTATAAGCCCCAGACGAGACATCTGCTGACCAGCGGCGGTTGTCTCCTGTCTTGATTGTTCGTGGAGGGATAGGAGGTGGCACCCCGGGCTTATCCATACTTTGAGTTTGGCGCTTGTGGCACGTGAGGCGCAGCGAAGGCTTGTTGAAGGATCCAGCTGGGCCAGAGTGCGAGCGTCGGAGCCTCCTCTGAGCCTTGTCCTGCTGTCTCTGACAGACCACAGGCTCAGGTGGTTCCTGAGGTCGCTGCTGCTCAAACTGTTCTCGCACTTCCTGAGGAGGATATGCCTGATGCTGCTGTGGGGGTTGCCTCGGGCTTTGCGGCCCTAATGGACCATCGTAGTAAGCGTAGTTAATCTGGCCACAGCTCCTTCGACTGGGGACTCCATAACGAAAAGGAGACGATTTGGAACACTGATCAGATACCAGGCAGCGGCTTTCGTCTGGGCTAGTGAAAAACTCTACTTCATTGTCCATCGCCTGCTCCTGGGAGATGTCCGTGTGCGGGGGGATGGGGGGCAGAGGTTTGGAGCATCTGCCTGGCGTCTGAGGAGGACTGCTGCACACCGAGAGCCTCTGGAACGAGGGGACCACCTGGTCTTCGTCATCTGCAGGACTTGGGGTGGAGGGTTCAATGCTGCAAGACAGGGAGAGATGGGAGGGCCGGGACTGTTTTGGAGGTAATCTCTGTGAGCTTGGACTGTGTTTATGTCCTGTCAGAGCAGAAAAATGGAGGGGAAAAAAATGACGTCAATTTTATGGCACAGTATTAATTTATTTGAATGACAATCATCATTTCCTTCTACAACTTTAGTAAAAGCTATAAAAACTATGGACTACTAGCTTTCTCTGTAATTCTGGAAAACCACTTACTACTTGCCGTATGGGGCAGATGATTTTTACAAACAATTATGTATTTCAGAAGAGCTGCACTATGCAGATGAGAGATCATGCACTTACGTTCATAACTTAAAGACGGTGGAGGTGGCACTTTATGCTGGGTGCGATAGCTGTGATCTGAGTGTGCAGTGTCCATACTGAAGTAGAAGCTGTTAAAAAAAAGAAAATGAATAGATTAGTACTGGTTTAGATTAATCATATACCATTCCATCATAACTAATAAGACTGACCTGAATAATAAAAGTGCGGCATGTCATGCAGATTTTAAAAAACTTCCCCTAATAAACTCCTAGTCGTGGCATTTGAACACTTACTTGTCCAGCTCATTGGGATGGGTCCAGGAGGGTTGGGATCCAGCCATGCTGTGACAGTAGCTGCCCCTCAGGAAGGGGTTTTCTATGGGAAAAGAGATCTCCTGGGCAGTCAGGCCCACTGTGGACATGCTCCAGGCACACTTGGGTCGCATCAAAGTCAGGAAACACTCAGATCACCCGGCTCACTACCCCTGCTTCTGGTGCACCTGTAACACAGCCAAGACAAAAGCCGTGAATGACGGTGAAAGGAGGCTGACGGCAAACGCAGATGAGATGAAACAGAACATGTGGTAGCATATTGAAAAATACTCTCTAAACACAAGGCACACATACTCCATGGGAAGAAAGTAAGTAAAGTAAAGCAAGTCCAGATATTATAATCAGTCTTGTGCTTGCGACTCCTTTTCTGTTAAGTACTAGACAGACAAGAAAACAATCTCCTATGACAGAGGAATGACAAGTAGTATATGTCCTCATGAGGACAGAGCGCTCTGTCAGTCAGAACGTTCTTGTCAGAGTATTTGAATATAAAGAAAGCAGAAAAGCAGTGTTTATGAGAAAATGTAGCCATAATGAACAGATTATTTTGTGCCCGTTTTTGTAGTCTACTTTATTCAACAGTTGGCCTTAAAGGTGGGGTAGGTAATTTTGGAGAAACCAGCTCGAGTGCGTAGAATTTGAAAATACACAACCGGAGAAAATCTGCCACTTCCTTACAGAGCCCCTCCTCCAACACACACGAACACGCACATGACCAATGAGGGCACGAGATAAGTTTGTGCACAGATGGAAGGCTGACGGGCAGGTAGGCCATCCAGTTATTTTAGCCGGGCCGGCTAAAATGATTGGTCGTGCTTTTTACAGTACTACGGCTTCCACAGATGACATTTTTTAATGGATTTTTTGTCAAAGCAGTTAAGATATTTATTGCTATCGGGATGTTAAGAGCATTCCATGGAATATAACAAAAAGTGTATCTCGAGCCGGTTTCTCAAACTTACCTACCCCACCTTTAAGTAGATACAAGTTATGTAAAGTTGAAACAGCAATAGCAAGTTGTGCTTCAGTTGATTTATTTGACAGTACATCTAAAACAATACAGTTGTGAATTTTACCAGCTCGATTTCTAAAATTGTCTTTACATTTCAACTATAGCAAGAGTTTTAATAAGCCTAAATTCAACATAGCAAACTTAGGTGTGAAATCATTAACAATCGGTCTGGTCTCATTCCAACGGACTGTACCTCAACTCTTTATATGTTTACAGTTTATTTTAAACTTGACTGTGCTGTGCTTCAGTGCTGCAATCTTGCTTGTCCTGAACAGCAGAGGAAGGGGCTCCTCCAGTTACGACAGATATACCTGATGTTGCAAGAACTCCTCCAGTCAAATGACCTGAATGTCCATGTCATGTCAAGTATGTGTCAGGGCTGAGTAAACAATGTGTACACTATTCAGAGGGGGGGACAAAATCCAGCAGCAAGTTTATATTTATGTGGTCAGAAGAAGACCAGAAGCAAAATCTGATCAGATGTTTAGGCCCCACACTGGATTAACCTGTTCGATATGTCAGATCTCTTGAGATTTAAAAAGTGTTAAATTAAAATATGCAAAGCCTTTATGTTTTAAAGCACAGTGTATCATATTTGTGTATTTGTTCTACGCCATGTCTGAGGTCACTCACATCAGCTTTGCATTGTTGCAGAAAATCTTCTAATGACTTCCGTGCCCCTATCAGAAGTCCTATTATTCAGAATGCAGCATAACAGGTGCATCCATCAGCCTGGTGGTCATCTCTTCTGCAGACCACATATGAGACATGCTGTCCTTCTTATAATGTTGGAGTGATGACTGAGAGGAACACGGCCCCCTCGTTCCTGCTCTCCTATGAGCCATATTTATGTGCTGCCCTGACAGCTGGTGAGAAACAAAGCTCTAAAACAACAGGAAGCTTGTGGCATCAGCATGAGCCAAACTGCCCAACAAGGCATGCACCCCCCTTGCCCAGGGCCGTCGATTCGGTTCGGCGGGGATGGGACGCAACATGATCCTCGATAATGAACCCCGGGGGCTTGTGCTTCCTCTTGCAACAGGTGCAAAGACAGTTCATCCTGGCAGTTAACCATAGGAGCATTTACAGGCAACAGGATTAAACAAATGATGTGTAGTCATGCAGAGTATTAACCCTCTTAATGGGGAATTCGAGTCACTTAATTCAGATAATTTGGTCAAAGAATGCGAGTCTTTATAAGGTCAAGTCTGGCCATTCTGTCCATACAATAGGCTCTACGTGAGTGAGGGCCCATGTATGCCGGGAAGGAGGAGGTCTGATGGGGTTAGCAGTGATGTAAAAACATCAGCAGATAGCTTGCCTTTGATTTCAGCATTGTAATAGTCACACACAGACCTTGAAAGAAGGAGTTCACACCCCGCTCATGACACCCCTGCAGCGGTTTCCGAGCAACCATACTCGCTCTACCTGTGCGGCAAGCAAACAGCGCGCACACCCCCTCACTTTACCGGATTGAGATAATAATGGTTAAAAGCCCTAGCAGGCAGGTGACTCACGCCACAACACACAAGTCAGCTATCTGGCAAGGACAGCTAGTGATGATACAGAATGGATTATTTCCTTTTAGCTTAAACGGAAATGACACGCATAGATAATTGTCGACTAATTAAATAAATGATGACATACAAATAAAACAAGGTTATAGATTTGCAATCTGCCAAAAGTTTAGAAAGAGATCAAACATTTTATATTTACCATGACAAAAAGACGTGTCGTTTTAGTAAAGGTTTACACATGTGTTCCCATTTTCTAGTTTACTTTAAAGAGAACTTTTCAAATCTTCGTAATGTCAGCGAAAAGACAGGGTACTCCTCTGAATGCCTTCAAGAATAACACACAAAAAAACATAGAAATATTCGCAATAGAGAAGCTGAAGTTGCACATCAATCAGTAGTGTCTGTCGTGCTGGCACCAACATACAAAACAATGGACACGATATGGGCTTGAACAGCAATCCCTTTCTGAACTCACCTAAATAACTTCACAGATCTCCTCTGTTGACTCCCTCCTATAGATTCCTCTTTGGTGAATTATAGCTCCTCGTTTTCTTTGGTTTGATTTGAGTCTTTAGTGTTCTGATTGCATCAGAGACAAGACGCCAGCGAATTGGCTGCGCTCCGGTTAAACTGTGACACTTTTTAAGATAAGTCTAGTATTGTACTGAGCTGTTTTATAAGCTTCCACCACACGAGAGACGCACTGGCTCCGCCTTGCACACTTGCCCTTAAAGGCGCAGTCTCCTTTTGCACCATGTCTCTGTGCACTATACGTGCAGCAGGACCATGGATGTACTATAGAGCAGGACATGCTGAGTGAGTGCATTAGGGATTGCAGAATCACCCTTGAACATATACACGGGGCTGATTTAAACGTTAAATTAACTTGATGTGATCAAAGTCTGCTGTTAAACTTAGAGGAAGGAGCAGGTGTAGACATAAGGATACAGTCAGCTGATAAACTGTGTTCCTGTAGGATACAGTAAACACCTGAACACATGCAGCTGCTCTGTTATCAAAATACAGCTAAATGGGGATTGGTAGATGCAGTGAGGTGATGTTTATTCATAATTGTATTATTATTTGCAGCAGTAAAGTTATTCTGATAAGGTGAAAAGTCCTCCTGTGAGTTTTGCCTTTAAACAGTTTCCGTCACATATCATGTACCTCTTCTGTGTTGTTTCATAAACAGCATGCATTCAAGCTGTAGTCAAAAGTAAATTGCACAGATCGGCAGGACGTCAGAGGCAGTAATGGGGATGGCTCCAGGGCAGATAACAAAGACAACAGCTAAAGAAACACAGCCAGAAACACTCTTATCTGCACAGCTGCTAGCTGAAAGCAGCCCAGATTGTTTCACTGCTTGCTAATCAGATCACCCTCTGCATTTTCTTTTAGCTGGACCTGTTCTGTGTTGACCTGAGATATTTTTCACTAAAACACAGAGCAACATGGATGATACAAATATTTTTCTTTGTTTAAGTTTAGGTTAAAATGCTATTCTTAACATCATCTATTTCCAGTAACTAAGCCTACTTAGATCGTAAGTGGTGTTGTATTACATACTAATACTGTATTAGTATGTCACCTTACCTAACTGGGCTATACAAACCCAACACTGACATGCACACTGACCAAACACAGTGATACAATGGCTACAAACAACTCGTGTGTTGAATCAATAGTGGCATAAAGCTGAGGTGTGTGCGGGAGAGCGAGAAAGAGAGAACAGAGTGTTCTTGTGTCTATGTTCGTAAATCCTTTACAGCTTGTGCACGGGGGCCCCCCCAAACCCAACAGGCTTATCATTACATATTTGGTCACTACATGGAAAAGCTATTGCTAATCCCCTTTATAATTTCAGGCACATTTTTGGGATTCCCTGGGCCAGTTGTGACCAGCAGAGGAAAGGGGCTTACTTGGTGTGATTTACAATGTATGTATGTGAATGAAATGAGCGTCAGAGTTTGGCGCTCAAAAGTGAGAACAAATAAATGTATTTCCCTTTAATAAAACATGCTTTACATTTCTAAGTCCACTGGGAAACCTTTATCCATGAACATTCATTGGAATAAATATGCTTTAAGTCGATACTCTCTCTCCTCCCACTTCAGCCCCCCTCCCCTCCTTGCTTGTGTGCCACATCATGATGCCATCACTCACAGGAAGTTCCTTATAAAGTTAGTCTGTCAGAGGGAAAAAAAGTCAGGGAAGGAGATAAGCAGCCGCAGCCAGAGGCAGCTCTGATGAGAGTTTGAGATGGCACATGAAAGACATTGAAAGAAAGACAAAAGACAAAAAAGACATGAAAGACAAATTACAATAGGTCTTCGTGCTCAGGCCCTAATAAGTAATCATTCTCAGGAAAAATTTCCAATTCTCTGGTTGTGCTTCATGACTCACGCTGAGATTTATCCACCACATCAAAAAAGTGAAACCTTCGGTTCATTTTCCTTTCAGCGTCATTTGGAGCAGAGAGGAATTTCCCTTTGTGGTTCACACTACAAGACAATGGTATATTTATGAAGTGACGCTTCAGTCTCTTAGCCTATTAAGAATCCCTCACCAACAGGAAGGGTGGAGTTCTGTTGGAAATATAAAAAAAAAAAACCTGATGTAAATGATTTATTCACTATGGAGGTCACAGCAGTGATTGCTGCCTGCCTGCTGAGGTAATTAAATTACGTGCATATTAAGCCTGCGTCCAAAGTTCACACTGATATAAACACAGCAGCAGAAGTCTCAGTGCTTTACAAAGGTGACGTCAAGCTTTATTTCATTGAATAGGTGTTCTGTGCTCTTCCAAAAAAAGATCTCAATACAGGACTTATTTAGACCCTGGTTTGCTGGCTATCCCTCTTTCATATTGTAGACTTTTTTAAGCATTTGTGGCCAGCAAAGTCTGCAACTTTCTCCCTTGAGAAATAAAGAGTCAGTTCACCGACATTACAAAAATAGAGGTTAGGCTACTATAGTTTTTAATATGATCAAAATATTTCCCAAAATGTTCCAACACATTTTTATCAAGGAGACGGTCCTTTCAATATGCACGTTTATGTCACATTTTCACATTACATGTTTTAGATCTTGCTAATTTTTTACTTTGTATTACAACTGGATGGAGGATTTCAGTAATGAGATGAATATTAGGTTATCAGAGAAACAAACTTCCTCAACGTTAGCCTTCAGCTACTAGCCCATCTGCCACAGAGATGCCAACATGTCATCCTTTTTTTTGTATTTTTACCTGTTTTAACATCAAACTCTTACTTTGAAGAAATTAACTTCCATAGGATTGTGGGATAAATGATATCTCAAAACCATGACATATGAAGTAAAAACCATTGTGCATGGCTAAGGAAGTTCAAAAATATGGATTTGTGATATTTGGTCGAACTTACCTTGTCCTGACTTTTTTAACGTGTTAACTGTGATGTTATTGGTGACTCTGAAAACATTATGTGTTTCATTTATTGGGCAGCAATGGCATTCTCCTGGATTAATAAAGATGAAATAAAAAACACAGAAATAATTTGCATTTCAAAAAGACTGTATGCTGCCTACATGGTTCACACTGCAGATGAGCTGTGGGTCCAGCCTTTGCAGCTGTGAGCTCCATAGCCGAGCCTCAGGCTGACACATCGCCGTGTATTACTGCTGGATCGTGGTTTTGTCTGGCAGACCCACACACACACTTGGCTCGCGCCGTGGAAACAAAACACAAATCCCCAGGCAACGGGCTGTCATCTCTCACTACAATGTAAATACGACCATATTAAAGCACTTCTTCTTGTTAACCAAACTCCTGAGAATCCTCCAGATGCTTCACTTATTAATCACTTCCTATATTGATACAAATACTTCTGGGAAATGAAGGGGTTTTAGAGTAAATTACCTCACACACATGTATTTTCTGTTTTAGAGTTCAATATAATCAAAAGCAGCAATAACGAGTCATCGTTGTATCACTCCTCTACATTGTTATGTTGAGTAGTTCAAGTGTAGCCACAGCCTGCTGTTAGTAGTGGGTGGAGCGAGCCACACCGCCTCCTTGATGATGACAGGGTGTGTTTAGTCTTCATGACCCAAATATCACCTTAGACATAGACTGGGGGAGTTATTGGCGAGCTCATCCAATGACTGAGACTGAACTCATGTTGATGGCTGATTATTCCTGAAGCTACCAAACTGTAATAATTCTTCCTTTTAAGGTTTTGGGAAGTTGTAAAAAGAATGGGAACATCCACAGTCACACATAATAACCCACACAGACACCCACATAAATGCTTTCATTTGTGTCTGGTGTTTTGGGAGAAGCTGTGAAAACGACAGCTGTGGTGTGATGGAGAACGTCACGCTGGTTCGACTTTCTCCAGCCGCTGGTTCAGAGCCAACTCTGCTCACAGGCTGCACCACTGGAACTCCACGGGATTGACTGACACAGATGAAAACCTGTTCCTAATATGCCTTGTTTCCGGGCTTGCAACTAATATTCAGTTTACAGAACATCAGTTTTCTTTTGCCTACATTTGGATTTTCTGTTCTGGCTGCATTACAGAATCCTATAGGGCCTCATGAAGAGCTACATCGCCTGTTTCTGCAATGTAATGCCTGTATCATATTTCAAACGTCCAAAACAGGAGTTTCTGTCCTTTGGCCGATGAGTATTGCAGGTTTCCGGTGTTTTTGATGTCAGTCTATACAGGAGAAGGTTTAGGTTTTGCTTAATGTAGCAATCTATTCATCTTTACTGATTGTTGGGGGAATTTGTTCTTCCCCCGATTTCCTGGTTCAGTCTCACTCATGGGGGAAATAAGAAACCAAGCTCACAGCAAACATCAGGACCCAAGGCCCCTAGCTCTGCTGATAAAGATTTCAGATGTTGTGCAGCAAAAAAATCAGCAGGCTTGCATTCAAAGGGGGCAGTCCTAATAGAGTGAGGTATAAATCAGTTGCTTCAGAGTTAAAAGAAGAATTGCACTCTAGGTGCACTAAGAAGACACATGTGTAATGAATGAAGGATGCAGTCCACACATGAGCTACAGGCAGTGAGCTGAACAAGTCCTGTTTTTCTGTGTGTGTGTATGAAGTGCATGTGGCAGGGTCTGGTGACAGGGACTGAGTCATTCAGGGCAGAGTATGTGCTTTGTCAGAGGGCCTTTTGTTCCATTCACACATGCATTTAGGGGCCCTGATGAAGTCAGCCAGACTACCTGACCTGGCGCTGGGCAGCAGCCACATTAATTCTTCACAACAGAAATGCTCTGGATCACCGCTCACACAAGCCTTTTAACGACAGGCCTGTGAGTTCAGGAGAATGCAGATGAGGTCCAGCTCTCATTTTCCACCCCCAACAAGCAGGTTGGCTGTGCAAACGCATATGTTTAAGGCGAAATGTGTTGCTCCAGGCAGAGAACCCTGCGTGGGTGTAAATACAGTCCTGTCTTAAACTCAATGGTCATGGTACAGGGACTATAACGGCCTTGGTCCTACACGTTGAAAGCTAAACTAGATGAATAATTAAACCATTATTGCCATTTAATCTGCACCACAACAACATTCGTGCTTTTTCTCAAGAGCGTATTCAAAGTCACAACAAGCCATGGTGTTATATTGGAGTTATATAGTACACAGTTAA